CTTTTTTCTTTTCATTAGCTGGAAAATGGAGATTTAGAAAGCTTAGAAACTTGACCCAGCTTAAAAGAAGTAAGAAATGCTTGACTTTGCCCAGCCAGTATGGCTCACTGGTTGAGCGTCGACCTGTGAACCAGGAGGTCATGGTTTGATTCCTGGTCAGGGCATATGCCCAGGTTGAGGGCTCAATCCCCAGTGTGGGGTGTGCTGGAGGTAGCCCATTCGTGCTTCTCTCTCATCACTGATGTTTCTATCTCTCTCCCTTCCTCTCTGAAATCAATAAAAATATATATTTTTAAATGCACATAACATCCCGCCCCCCCCCACCACACATAGCTATTTGTGAATGTGCAAACGGATCCCCCAATGCACTGTCAGGCTTCATGCCTTTGCCACCTGCTGTTATCTCTGTCAAGAATGCGTGTCCCCTTTCCCTCTTTCTACCGGGGTATTTGGGTAGAAGGGATTCTTATGCTAGAAAACATTGTGCTTTTGCCTCTTCAATTAACCTGAACTCCTGAGAGACAAGGAATTTGCCTGAATTATTTCTGTCTAAGTCTGTCCTTGCACGGTAGCTGGATAACGGCAGATAATTAATTAAAATGCTTATGAATTTATATTGGCAAATGTAAGAGTCTCATACTCAAATCCCTGAAATATGCGTGTTTTAGGGTTGTGTGTAATTAGGTGAGGAATCACCTCTGAAACACTGTCTCCAAGTGTGGTCTGTGTATGACATGCCAGGGGTTCAGGGACTTACACTTTTTAAATAAACACATCCAGGTTTCTGATGAGACACTAAAATTTAAAACCTTCCCCCTAATTGGTAATTCAAACTGCAGCTGCCAGTGATATACCACAATCTTTCTTAAATGCAGGGTCTCAAAGTGTACACAAGGCAATTTTGGGATGTTAATAAAAATGTATGCTCTGCCCTAACCTGTTTGGCTCAGCGCATAGAGCATCAGCCTGCGGACTGAAGAGTCCCGGGTTCGATTCCGGCCCAGGGCATGTACCTTGGTTGCGGACACATCCCCAATAGGGGGTGTGCAGGAGGCAGCTGATCGATGTTTCTCTCATAGATGTTTCTAACTCTCTATGGACCCTTGAGTCTGCAGGCTGACGCTCTATCCGGTTAGGGCGAATGTATGCTCTTTTTTTAAAAAAAAGTTT